TCCTTCCTTCCTTCCTTCCTTCCTGCCTGCCTGCCTGCCTGCCTGCCTGCCTGCCTGCCTTGAGGACCAGGTTCTACACAGAGGAGGTATTATAGGCAGTTGCCAAAGAAAACTATGGGGATAAGGTGTGTGTGCTCTGTATCTTTCCTATGAGAGATATCTTCTAGGGGCACGGCCAGATGGCCGTGTTAACCTGCAATGCACCTATCTTTCAGCAGTCTGCTAGCCTAAAATTTGCTGTCCAGATTGCCGAATCTGCTTCTGCCCCAAGAATGAGACTGATGGATGGTGCTGTCCTTAGAGTGTTAAGGAAGGACTAGTAAAGGAAGGTGATTAGTGGATTCCCTTGGCTTTGTTTCTCCTCCCCTTGTCACAGGGCTGACACTGGATGCCTCAGAAAAAGGTGGCTGCAGTCCATTAAAACGTAAAGGCAGGAGAAAAAAATCCAGAATTTAGACCTGGGGACATCCATAGAGAGAAAGAATCATAGCACCATAGAATCACAGGGTTGGAAGAGGCCTTGTTTTTATGCTTTATATGTGTGAGCCACCTAGAGTCACTTTTATAGTGAGATGCGCAGCATGCAAGTTTAATTTATAAATCAATCAATCAATAAAATATTCTGGTTCAACTCCGTACCCAGGGCAGAAATCCTCCTACCAGTCCAGACAAATATGGTCCAATCTCGGGTGGACCAGACTGTTTACAAGCTGCTCTACTCTAAGGCTGGGAGGAAATTCAGAAGAACCAAGAAGAGATCTCTTTAGCCAGCAACCTCCACCTCCCAGGGATCATATGTAAGCCCAGCACTTCCCTTGTGGGTGAGGGAGGGTTGTGCCATGAGGTTGTGGAGCTCCACCACCACATCATGGATCTGGTGCTGTTCCCATCTGAACAGTCCCACTCTCCTGCTGCTCTGGAAAACAGGGACCAGAGAGGAGGGGTCTGTGGACCACAGCTTCCAACGGCTGATAGGACCTGGGCAGATCCCAGTCCCTGACCTTCACAGCCATTCCTCAGAGCTGAAAATGGGACTTGCAGATCTTCCTGAACATTAAAAATAAGTAGAATAAGAGGACATGTACTATTAAAGTAAGAGACAGCCACTATGTAAATTAGGTGTTTCCCTAAAGTTGCTTTGTTGCTCAATTCTTTAAACACAGCCTGATCATACTACTTAGGAAAAAGTCTCCCCAATTTCAATTTTTTTCTTCCAGTCAATAAATAGAGACAG